GTTAATATTCATGATATAAGAATCAAGATATAGCTAACGAAGAAGGGAGTAGGAGGAGAAAGATAGAAGGAAGGCTAATGGCACAATTGATTGTTTCACATGATAAAGAATCAGTCTGTGAACTGATCTGGCCTGTATTAAGACATGGTACATTGGTGGACTTAACCAACTGGGGATCTAAAATAGTTTAAAAAATTGTTGTATCTATACTGAATGTGGACACGTCTTTTTCTTGTTATTATTTCCTAAACAATGTAGTATTATAACTATTATATAGCATTTACATTGTATTAAGGAATGTCTACCACTAAGCCACATCTCTAGCCCTTTTATTTTTTATTTTGAGACAGGGTCTTACTAGGCTTCAAACTTGTGATCCTCCTGCTTTAGACTCCAGAGTTGCTGGGATTACAGGTAGGCACCACTTTGCCCAGATAGAAATGATTTAAAATATATCAAATATATGATTATTTGCATTTACTTTAAGTTTCCAGCTCAAGTCAACCATAAATCTACCCTCTAGCCATATAGATTTGATTTTCCTAGACATTTCATATAAATATAAATGGCTTCTTTCACTTAGTGCATGTTAAAACATGAATTAATATTAAAAAAAGCTAATACAAAATTCCTTATTATTGCTAAGTAGTATTCCATTGACTTGCCATGGAACATTTTGGTTATTCACTCATCAGTTACAGACATTTAGATGATTTCCAGTTTGGGACCTTTATGAATACAGCTGTTCTAAACATCTATATACAGGTCTTTGTGGGATATACATTTGCATTTCTCTTGGATGCATTTATATGATAAACTTATGTTTAACTTTTTAAGAAATTCTCAAACTATTTGCCTAAATAGTAGTCCCACCAGCAATGTATGAATGCTCTAGTTCCTCCATGTCCTTGTCAGAACTTGTTATTGTCTATCATTTTTGTTTAATCATTCTTGTGGGTATGAAATTGTATCTTGTGGTTTTTAATATTAATTTTTCTAGGGGCTGGGGTTATGGCTCAGCGGTAGAGTGCTCGCCTAGCACATTCGAGGCCCTGGGTTCGCTCCTCAGCACCACATAAAAATAAATAAATAAAGATATTGTGTCCAACTAAAAAATAAATATTAAAAAAAATTTTTTTCTAATAGCTATTCCTTTACTTGTTTAATTTCAACAATACTTGAAAATCATCCTTGATTTTTCTTTATTTCTTATCATACTCATCTATTTTGTGGTTGTACACCTTAGTATTTTTAAAATTACCCTTCTCCGGTATCTTAATTCCTATTGCTTTGTTTGTTCACTATTCTTGATGATTAAAATAGCTTCTAAACTGCTTTCTCTGATACCATTTCCTCTGTAGGTTCCAATCTATTTTCCATACTTCCATCAAAATGAATTTCATAAAATGTAGATACAACCATGTCACTCCTTTGCCAAGAACCTTTCAAAGGCTTCTCAATGCCCTGCAGATAAAGTCTACATATGGACTCTGCTTGCCTCATACATACTACCTATTCTTGCCACTTTTATCCCCACTACCCCACTTTCTTATAAACCTGTGTAGTCTCCATATACACATACCTTATACATATTTTGGCCCGTGATCTATCTATAATTATCTGATTACCTTGGAACTTTTTTCTTCTTTTATCTGACTACCTTGGAACTGTTTCCTCTATCTGGAATGTTTATCCATCTCTGTTTACAAACTCTCACTCATTTTTTTAAGGTTAAACACAAATAATTGTACATCTTGGAATCTTTTCCTGATTTTCCTTAACAGTTAAACTGTGTGTGTGTGTGTGTGTGTGTGTGTTAATGTAGTGGTAAACATATGTTTGTGATAAGATTACATTGAATCATAAAAATTTTTCCTTATTCTAAGTAAAAATAAGGTATATATGAATTTCTGTGTGAGTTAGCTTTCTGTCTTGGTGAAAAATACCTGAGAAAATCAAATTAAAAGAGGAAAGGCTTATTTTGGCTCATGGTTTCAGTCCATGGTTGGTGGCTCCATTGCTTTTGGGCCTGTGGAAAGGCAGAACATAATGTCAGGGAGCACATAGTGGAGCAAAGCTGCCATTTCATGGTAACTGGAGAGCAAAGAGAAAGAGAATGGGATGGAGTCCCACATCCCCTTCAAAGGCATTCCTCCATGACCTAACTTCCTTCAATAGGCCCTATATCACAAAGGTTCCACCACCTCTCAATGGCACCATCAGCTGTAGACCATGCTTTCAGCACATGAGTCTTGGGCAAACAGTTAAGATCCAAACCTTAACAAGGAGTCAGCCTAAAACATTTTTGCAGTTACTTGTTTTTGTATCTGTTATTCTCCAATCTAGCAAGAGACTGTCATTTGTTTAAGGGCAATAGGCCACCTAGTGCTGTTTGTTGACAGGTTAACAGAGAAATTATTCTTAAATACCAAGGCTTGCATTTAGAGTGAAATGTTGCTCTTTAAAGTCATTATATTTTCTACTTTGGAGTCACTTGGCTCCAAAGGCTGTTTATATGCATTGTGTCAAAAATAACTCAGTATAAAACTGTCATGATATATCTCTTAATAAGTACATCTTCAATGTCATGGATAAAGTCACAGATTCACAAATTATTTCTCATGTGCAATTTAGTAGTCATTTCTGTGTTAGTAGACAACATAATAGTTTCATAGTTCAAGTAAAATAACAAAGGATATACTGACTTTTCATAAAACAAAACATCATTTTGCTGGACATGGTAGTGTATGCCTGTAATCCCCGTCACTTGGAAGACTAAGGCAGGAAGATGGCAAGTTCAAGGCCAGCCTGAGCAACTAAGCAAGGCCCTGAGCAACTTAGTGAGACCCTGTCTCAAAAAAAAAAAAAAATAGGGCTGGGGATGTGCCTCAGTAATTAGGCCCCTGAATTCAATCTAATATCAGAAACAAAACAAAACAAAATAAAAATATCATTTTGGAATTCTCACATCATAAGCTAAAATGACTTAAGTATGTGTGTATATATACATATATAATGATTATAGCTATATAAAATTTGCCATTGAATGTGGGAGATAATATATGGTAATGAAAAGAAATGTTTTCAGAGTATGAATTATGAGTTTATTTTGATACTTTTTTTAAAAGAACAAATATATTAGTTTTTGTGTTTTACATCAGTCAAGTAGTGATATTGTCTGAATTGTGGCTTTAGAAAAGATAACCATTTAAATACTTGACATAATTTAGATAGCTATATCTAAGAACCCTGTACTTCATTTAACAAAATTATAGTTTTAGTCAATATTTTAAAATATTTTTAAAATTTAACTTTCCTTAAGGGACATGTAATAGCTTTGCCATAGTTTTAAAGTCATTATATTGTTATCAGTAGTAGGTAAGTTCAATAATTATATTTTAAATCAGACATGGGGTTATAAGTTCTATTAGAGCTATTATCATCTTTCAGTTCTATAAATTCTTCAAGTCATCATAAATAAATTTTATGTGGTATATAAGGAAACTATTTTTTTTTTTTAAAAAAAAAAACCTTGTGGAACAATTGTCCATTAGCTCCACATAAAAATTCCTTTTCTTCACAAACTTAGATAGTACTCTTGAATTATCCAGACATGCCAAGGTAAGTAAGGAGTCTAAATAATGTGATTTAATTCATAACTTTAAAACACGAACAGTGATTTGGAAGTATAGCTTAGTACAACTCCTTTTCTAAGTAAAATTCTGCCCCATTTGTGACTCTGAGCATGTAGACTGAAGAGGAGCTTTCTTAGTGGTGCCTGACCTCTGGGTACACCTTGGTCTATCTGCCTCGCTCTGGTTCACACTGCAGCCATATAAATCAGTTTTTTGACATGTTATAAAATGTAAGTCACAGCTGCTGTAGTTTACAATATTCAAAAATTTTGCAACACTGCATGTCTAAATTTATTTTTTAATGAATATAAGTTTTTATTGAGGTAAGCCCTTTTTGTTTGGAAAAAAGAAACTCCAAAGGAGAATTTCAAATTAAATAGTTTTAATATGTATATACACTCTTTCTCTCTCCCTCTTTCTACCCCCTACCCCCTCTCTTTCTCTCTGCTTGTGTAAAAAAGAAAGAAAGGGAATGATTGGGTTTGGGAGAAGACCTTGGAATTACACCTGTATAATAGGAAGTTGTAGATTAAGATTTCTGTTACAAAATCTTTATGCTTAAGTCAGAAGTAAATAGATTTTATAAAAAAGAATTAAGAAATTGTAATCATTATGTAAGTATAAATGCTTCATCTCTTCAAATTTATTTTAATTCCTTGTTTCTGTTATAGCAGAAAACTTCAAACATAAGCATGCCTCTTTAGCTACTTGGCTTTACCAGATGCCCAACATTTTTTAAAGAAAGGCATGTGTAGATTGATAAATGAATGTGCAAGGTATGGTAAACTCAAAAGTGCTTTTAATAGTTCTAAAGAAATTTTAAAATTTTTAATGCTGTTGGAGATTTTTATATTCCCTGTTTGACCATTTTCAATAAATTGAAAAATTGGAAGCTACTGATTCTACTTAAAAGTTAGATTATTAATAAATAGGCTTTATGAAAAAGCAAAAAGTTCAGGTCATTCAGTTTCATTACTACCATATATGTTTCATTTTCTCATATAGTACATTACTACATTAAAATGTTTATTAAAAACCAGCATTAGAACAAAAAGTTTTAAGATTAAATTATATTATTTTAGGAAATGATTTGTATTTAGTGCACTTATACTTTATAATGTTGATCCTTTGGTTTTATCTGCACAGATTTTTTAATTGATATATTCAAAACATAGATATCTAACTAATTTTGTCACTCACAAATAAATGACTTACTTTCAACATTTAAAGAGTATCACTATTAGAATATTTGATGTAACTCCCTCAAAAGAATATTTTTTCTTAAATTATTAATTTTAAACTATTTTAGGTGCTGTTTTTCAACCCTAATCTTCTGACCAAGGATGAAACTATTTAAAAATTAAGATGCCAACAGGTAATTTCTTCTGTTTATACTTTTGTCAATGTGTGTTATTTAGAAATAGAACAACAGATGTACATTAACACAAGATTATATTGTTCCTTATCTAAAATCCTCCCCAAAATATGAAACATTTTAGTTTTGAAATACTTTCCTATATAACATAAAACTTTTATTTTGGGTTTATGTGTTTTATTGTTCTTTACAAACTGACCAATTCTAGCTTACTCTATATCTAATATCAACTTCCCAAATAATAAGTAAATTTGAAACCAGAGCAAAGAATGAAAATAGATTCAGAGATAGTGATTCAGGTTGGATGAGTTTTTTTATTGATATAATATGTGATATTATTTCAGTAAATATATGTCTGGATATAATTAGTTAAAAAGGACATTACTTTCAGCTGTGATAAAGTTAATAGAAAATCATATGGGATGATTTCCATGATTCTGATGTAATGTAGTTTTAACTGGGATTTTGTCAACCAAATTATTCCTGAAAAATTGTATAGATTATTAAAAGTTGTTTAATTTTAAAGAAGCATGCATTGTGTAAAAAAGAAAAAACCTTAAAGTATTAGTTTTACCTGGTTTACTTTCTTTTTCTTCAGTTCTTTGTAGTTCTATTTCTGTCTTTACATTTTTGTACTTTTATGGTTATAATATGCTGAAATAGGTTTTTCTCAATTCTGATGTAAAAGGAAAGTTTCAAACTTTCAAATTCTGATTGTGAAGACATCTGGATCATAGTAGTTATCATTCATATATATATATATATACACACACACACACACACACATACATATATATATATGGTGTAGATGGACACAATACCTTTATTTTATTTATTTATCTTTATGAGGTACTGAGGATTGAACTCAGTGCCTCACACATGCTAGGTAGGTGCTCTATCACTGAGCTACAGTCCCAGCCCCAACAATTATATCTTAACAGGTATCAATATCTTAGTGGCAAAAATGTTAGAGAAAGTTTTTTTTTAACTAGTAAACTATCTTTAAATGCCAAACTAAATGCTAAATGAGAGAATTGTCATTGTCTGCTTCACATTAGATGATTCTAAGTAATTTTTAGACAATCAGGAACTACCAAGATAAAATTTTAAAAGCAGTATCATTCTCCTTTTAAAGCCAAAAGATAAAGTTTTCAGCAATTTCCTAATCACAAAGAGTAGTATAATGACCCAATAAATTTGACTATAGTTACTTCTGATTTTTTCTATACTGTTGTGGTCAAAAAAGAAACTTTTTGTAAAGAGATGGTGGGGGTGGGAGTGGGGTATGAGGCTGAGTCTAGAAGGAAAGAGAAATACCAATGAGAGAGGGAAGGCAGAGAGAGCAAGAAAGATAAAGGAAAGATCAAAGATAAAGAGTGAGGAAAAGAAAGAGGAAAGAAAGAAGGAAGTGACATGGAGAAAGAGAAGGGAGAGAAAGGAAGCAAGAGGAGTGGAGGGTTATTTTCTTATTATTCTGAAAGTTTTGGCTATATGTTAAGCACAAACTTAGATTTTTAGTTTTACTTTAGGATTTTAGTCTTTTCAGTTATTAGCTTTTACCTAAAGTTCCCTTGCAAATAAAAACCTTATGAGATTATATTTTATTTTTCATGTTTGACTTTGGTTGTCATACAAGAGGAATATTTTAAGATAAATTTGGAAGCAAAATTTATTTCAATTATCTAAATTTTTTTCCTATCACAATTTCAGATTTTAAATATTTGAAACATCAAAGGAAAAAGAAGAATTTAAATGCAACCTTAGGACAGGAAAGCTCTAAGTAATACTGTAAAATCTTGGTGGTAAATGAGAAGGACCTGTTTATTCTATGATCCTAATCACTGCCTTTTAATCTAACTAATGCAGAGATTTCTTATTTCTGTTATGTAGCTTCTAAATCCGTTATAATTAACAACCATATCTGTAAGATGGATTCATTTTTCTCTCAAAGTGATAGATTTTTCTTTCAAAGTGACTATGAAATAAGAAATAAGATTCTTTCATTTTGAAGAAAAGTTCCTCATTCTAATTTTTAGTATTGCTGCTTCATTCTAAGACTGGTTATTCCTGTTTCTGATTGCATCAGAAGTATTTTAATATGCTTTCCTCTGTTCCATATGCATGTGTGTTTTAGATCACGAGGAGCCCTGTGGTCCCAGTTACAGGTCATTTTGCCTGAATGGGGGGATTTGTTATGTGATACCTACTATTCCCAGCCCATTTTGTAGGTGAGTGAAATGGACTGGGGGAGAGGGTAATTTTATTTCTTACAAACTTATTTGAGAAGTGAGAAAAAGTAAACAAAAAGTGTAAGAAATATATATATATACACATTTACATATATATATACATATATTTACATATATATGCGCATTTACATATATATGTAAATGTAAGAAAATATGATAAATATTCTTCGTGTTTTTATTATTTTTAAAATAGGCATTGGTAGTTTCTAGCCATATAGAGTATTGAAAATAATCCATTTTAATGAACTCTGAGTTTTAGCAATTTAGGGAAGGCAGTTTATGTTTAATATTAATAACAAAACAACTAGAGAATTCATTAATTAAAAATCCCAATATGAGACACATTGTTTTGAATTTAGACTGAGTTGGCACTAAAACTTATACTTGGTATATTAAAAAGAAAGTGAAAAGTTAAGTTTTTCTAATGTTGGTACCAAATCTTAACCACTATTGTTTTAAAATAACATTATTTGGGGAGTACAGACATAGCAGAAAATCAGTAAAATGATTCAAAATAGTATTTGTATAGTACTTCCTGTGAGTTTAATTGACTAGTATTTTTTTGAGAGAGAGAGAAGAGAGAGAGAATTTTTTAATATTTATTTTTCAGTTTTTCAGTGGACACAACATCTTTATTTTATTTTTATGTGGTGCTGAGGATCGAACCCAGCACCCTGTGCATGCCAGGCGAGTGCGTTACCGCTTGAGCCACATCCCCAGCCCCTTAATTGACTAGTATTTAAGGGCATTAAAAAAAAAAAAAAACACCTTTTTTAGTACATGAGCTAGGCACAAAGAACTATCACTGAGGCCCATAGATTTTGTGGAGTAACTCCCTACAACCTCAAGATATTTTACAACTTGTGTGAATTACTTGTTTGCTCTTTAACTGAAATGAGAAGTATAGAATATAAATTTAAGATTTAAGTTCTTATTGAATACAAGGATAGAAAAGTCAAATTTATGGGAAAAGTTAAAGATATTGGGATCTGGTTTAGAGGAGAGGAGAGAGGTAAGTAACGTCATTCTTATCTGGAAGTTTTTAGTGAACTCTGAGTTTTAGCAATTTAGGGAAGGCAATTTATGTTTAATATTAATAACAAAACAAAAAGTTTTTAGGGGTTTTTCATATTGGGAACAGTATTCATATTGGGAATAATGCCTAGTGTTTTTTTTTCCGCAAATGACCGTATAAAGGGAAGGGGGAGGAGGAACAGACCAACAATTACTCAACATCCACCATGTTTTTTAAAAATCTATCTTACCAAGATATAATGCATGTATGATAAACTACACTTGTTTAAACCACAAATTGAATTTTAGCAAACGTCACACCCATGAAACTGCCACAACTTCCACTTCAAGATACAGAACATCTTCAATGCCCCCCCCACCCAAAATTTTGTTGTTGACCCTGTTCTTTATTTATATTTTAACACTTTATTCTCAGCAACCTTAGAGGAAGGAGGCAGGGGAAACTTAAGAAATAGAAAAGTATGTAGAAAATGAGAATTTAAGTGAATTGCTAAAGGTCATATTTTTTTGACCCCAAAGGCTGAATCCTTTTTCCCTCTCAGAATGGTGGAACCAATAATAAGACCAAGCGCCAATGAGCAGCAAAGAAGACTTTTATTCTTGACCAAAAATATGAGAAGTGCAAGATAACACTTGCAAATCAGCTTTTCTCAGGGTTCAGAAGGTTGTAGATACAGGGCACAAGAAATGAGGGAGAAGGGTAAGGTAATGCTGGGGAGGAATGTTCAGGTATTCTATTATAATGAAGTTCCAACCTACTTTATCTAGCCCAGCAGAGGAGGAACTTCTAGTCTTGTCATCAAAAATGTTTAGGAAGGATAAAAACTAGGCCACCTAGGCAGTCATCACCAGAGTAGGGAAGCAATACAGCTAGGAAGAAGAAAGGAATGACCTTTAGATTCAACTTTCAAGGTGTGTTTAACCTTTTAATACATTTATACTGCATCCTTTCTAAGGGCACATGGCACATGGCATTTATACAATGAAATTATAATGCTTATCAGAAGATATATATTTAATAATTAAAATATACTATAGTTTTTTTTGTCTTGATCTTGGTGGTGACAACATGGGTGAAAAGACTGTTCTTCTGTATTGAATTGCCTTTGTACCTTTGTCAAAACTTAATAAACCAAATATGTGTGGGTCTATTTATGGATTATTCTGTTCTGTTGATTTTTTTCTGTCTTTTCACCAACACCGAATAGTTTTGATAATTATAACTTTATGATGAGTGAATTGTGTTCTGTGATTCTAAACCCTACTTTGGGGGTTAGGGAAAGGGATGTTCATTGGTCTTTGGCCTTCTTTTCTAATAGATAGTGTGTATTGCTTAAAAAAAATTTCAAAATAGTTTAGTGTCATCCTTAAAGAGACTATAGTTGTTGAGTTTTAAGTTTAAAAATTGTGTTCTGTTATGATTTTTTTATTAGCCAATGGGGTTTTTTTTTTTTTTTTTTTAAGTTTATTTAGCTCACAGTTTTTGAGGTTGAAAGTCCAGGATCCTGTGGCCCCATTGGTTTGGCCTCTGGGCTCCTTCATTTACATCACAACATGGTGGAGGAGCAGAAAGGGAACCCAGAACATGCAGAAGGGGACCAAGCATGTGGCCTGACTTTATAACAACCCACTCTCATGAGAACTCACTCCGTGAGGCTAGCCTTAATCCCCTCAGAGGGTTTGCTCCCATGATGTGATCACCTTCCGTGAGGTCCTATGGGGGATTCTGTTTATCCTTTATAGTTATATCTAATTTAATTGCATTGTGATCAGAGTACTTGATACATCAAGCTGTCTACACTAAATAAATTGAAAGAATTAGGAGCACTGGGATTTGGAAATTCATTAAATTGGGAAGTTTGTCACCCTGCCTTTGTACCTTGGATAGATGCATTCCTAGTGTACTTTTTAAAAGGTACCTATGAAAGACAATGGGCAACTTGACTGGTAACCCACACCAAATTTAAAAGTCTAATTCTTTCCTAATTTTATATTTTAAGAGGAGTAATTAGGGAGTGGTTGAAAGCATGCCCATAGGTTTTGATGGATAGAGATTGAAGCCAGGTTTCCATGTGGCACAGCCTCAGGAGGTGAGTGGATTGGCATCCTCTGTGTGATCATTAGTGTATCCAAAGAACTGCGTGGCACCCTGGGAGGAAGTGAGGGGCTGGGATTGGGGAACATGAGGAGGACAAAAAGAACACTGAGATAAGGAAGGAATTCAGTGGTTGAGGGTTCAGGAAAATTGAATGGCAGGTTTATTTTAAGTCACATTTTATAAAATGTAATTGCAGCCAGGTGCCGCAGCGCACACCTGTAATCCCAGCTGCCCAGAATTACAAATTTGAGGCCAGCCTCAGCAATTTAGTGAGAAGAGTTTCCCCGCAAAAAGAAAAGTAATTGCTTTCCAGTGATCTTAGGACCATATTTTTAATATAGCTGTATAGACTGTTATAATAATATCTAAGAGTAATAAACTCATTTTCAATGCCAACTCATACATTCATGCACAGGGGTGTTTCTATCAGTGACATCCCAGCCATCTTGTCACTGAGAAATGCAGACTCACCTTTGACTGTATTATTGGTTCCTCATCTGGTTGTCAAATTATAGTTTTTACTTAAGTCTTTGATCTCTCCAGTCCATTCTGTTCTGATTATCATTATACTAACTCAAACCTTCTTAACACCTTGCTTTGGACTTATCATATTAAAAATCCATATAAATAGTCCCCAAATGAGTTTCTCTTGAGCCTAATTCTCATCACTACTCCCACTAAAAAAACAGTAAAACTTCAGTGACAGTGTTCACACCTACGCATCTACCACCTATGAAATAATATCTCACCTTTTAGTTTAGCTTTTAGAGCCTTTAACAATTGGGCTCCAAACTGCCTTTTGGCCTTCTCTCCTTTGGTCTGTGTTCTATTCAAAATCATTTACTATTTTTGTTAGATATATTTTGCATTATGTTGCTTGCCTTGAATTTGTTCTCCTGCCCTTTCTCTATAACTATGCATTTTCAAATCCTTTTTATTTTTCAAGGCACCCTCCTCCCTAATTCATTACCCTATCACAATTCAGAATTCATCTGTCCCTCCTCTGAACTGCCACAGAAATATGAGAAATTTATTAATTTTTATTTTGTATCATTTATATACATGGACAAGTCATTCTTATTAGAATATTAACTTTCCTCACTGCATCCCACCACCTAGAATAGTGCGTTTCCCACAGTCAACAACCATATAAGTACTGTTGACTGAATAGAGAGTGAATTTTTAGAAATAATTTCTTTTTTTGGTACCAGGAATTGAACTCAGGAGCACTTGAACTCAGGAGCACTCGACCTCTGAGTCACATTCCCAGCCCTATTTTGTATTTTATTTAGAGACAGGGTCTCACTGAGTTGGTTAGGGCCTTGCTTTTGCTGAGGCTGGTTTTGAACTCGCAATCCACCTGCCTCAGCCTTCCAAGCTGCTAGGATAACAGGCATGTGCCACCACACCTAGCTAGAAATAATTTCATCTCTGAGTCAGTGGTTAGTGTATTTTCTTGAGTGAAATGTGTAAGTAAATTTATAAAATTAGAAATGCTAAAATGGAAATGTACAAGCATGCTTTAGAAATTTGATTAATCTCAACATATATAGAAAGTAATCTTTCCTCTTCATTTTTTTCTTTATTGTACTTTCTTTGAACATATTCTGGTTTTCTTATCTAATTTCATTTATTTTATTAATTAATTTTAAGGTAATATTTTAAAATTACTTGATATTAATTCTTTAGTGTCTGTTGAGATTTGTTTTGAAGACTGGTTATTGACAGTGTTTTAAATGATCTATGTGTACTAGAGAAGAATATAGGTTCTTTAGTGATAAATCCAAAGTTGTATATTTGTGTATTAGGTCTAGCTTGTTATAATGTGCTATTTGAATCTTTTATA